ACAGACATATAGAAATATGTGTATATGTGTGCTGTGTATATCGTTTTATCATATGAAGTTATCGTAAAATATTATAAATCATGAAAACAAAGAAAATAATAATCTCATACCAACATACAGTTGATTTAATAATAGTTTGACTTTAATCTAATTTAAAATTAAAGTATTGTTTAATTTGATTTTAAAAATTAGAAACGGATACGGATTTATCCGATATCCGACCGATATCCGACGGATGCGGATACGGTTTTGATTTTCAGTATCCGTCAAGATCCGTATCCGAATTCGATATCCGACAAAAATAAACGGATACGGATTTGGTAATGGCACATCCGATCCGATTAATATCCGTTTACACCCCTAAATTATCAGATCAAACCTCCAAAGTGAGCACAACAATTGCTCGACAAAATGTCACGACCAACTAGTGATGGGTGTATTTCACCCATGACCGGTCAAAGGTCAGACCCATATAAGTTGACTGGTCAAGCAGGTCAAATTAGAAGGGAGATGAATCGTTCATGGAAGGGTAAAGGGTTGAGCAAAAGGTTGACCGGTATACTTCGAATAGTATACCGGTCTAACTATGCCGGGGTCTAATTCATCCTTTGAAGTTAGCAGATCCAACCCTCATGAACCAACCGGTGCAGTTTTTAATGATTGGAAAGTGTCGGCAGGAAGAGTCCAAAAGGACTTGGACTGTAGTGGTTGGCATTGCTGGGGACTCAGTGGAGATGCTGGAGGAATATTTCCAAGCCAGAACGCGACAAGGGGGGTAATCCCCCTCGCAAGATGACAAGGCGGCTCAAGGACAGTCATCTCGCACCACATCAGCAGCATGCCCCCACGTGGGCACACGTGATCCTGTCCCCCTTAGCCTAGTATAAATACTCGTGTAAACCTGAGAAGGAGAGATCCGAATTCATTCTCTCTAAACTCCCTTGTAAAAGCACTCGTGCATTCTCCGTTATAATATAAATTGGGCTACAGGTGTTCCACCTAAAGTCCTACCGGTCAATCTGCGTGTTTTTACCTTTCTTACTTTACCAAATCAAGCAAACTATTCTAGACCCGGTCTAGTATAGTTTGACCGGTCAAGTAATTTACACCATCAACTAGTATTTTGGGTTTTTTAACAACCAACCAAAAAATATATGTTTTGGTAACTTTTTGGTTGTGTCAGTTTTTCTAGTATATTGGTTCGGTTCAGTCGATTATTGTTAGTATTGCATTATTTTGGTTTTTTTTATTTTGGACCAAAACTGACCGAAATTGATCGTAATTGACCGCTGCTCACACGGACCTCTAAGAGCAATGGTAGTGGCAAGACAAATACCTGCCACACCTTGCCACATAAGTTGCAAACGAAAACTGACATTTGGACTTGTCTATTCCACCATGCCTTTCATTCCATACGCAAGGCAACTTTGTCAATTTCTTTTTTTAAATTTTTATTGCACAAAAAAGCTTATTTTTTTGTTAAAAGAGTACACTTATTTTATTGAAAAAAGATAATTAAAATAATTTTAATGATTTAAATATGTCAAAGAAGTGTAAACTGACTAATTTTAATAATTTTGATGATTTTAATGACAAAAAATGACTTGTCAAAGCAACTCCAAGGGAGAGTTCAAAAATGAGTAAAATCTAAAAAATAAAAACTTAAGCTTTGACTATACAAAATTTGCACCTCCAACACGCAACGTTTAAAATAGAATGGAATCTATTTTTCGATTCTCGTAAACCAAATCTATACTATATTTAAAAGCAAGGGAAGTTCATGCTATAGTTTTCCCGCCCAAAGTTTGGAGCCATATTCACAGTTTATCCATCCTTGTGAATAATCTTAGTCGTTGATTGAGCTTTGGAAAAATGCACATGTCTCTCCACGGAGTGCACTTACTACTTGTGCGTGTTGTATTAATGTCTATGGCCGACCTTCCATTTTCCAACATTTGGTGTGATTGCTCATTGGGTTGACTCTTCCATCCTTTATGCCACTTTTAACTATTCATTCCTTTTTTTCCTTAATTATAGGGGTAAATTTATACCACCCTATGTATTACTCCACAAAAAAGCACTCCGACTATGATTTTGAATTTTTTTTGCCAGAACTTACACAATTTACAACAATCAATACAAAGGAGATTTTTAAAGAAGAATCATCGATACAGAGTAGTGAGTACATAAACTGAGAATTGAAACTTTAATGCGTGATTCAACTTTGAAGATTGTTTGTAAGTCATAAAAATGATCCAAACTTTAAACGACTGCATTATTTTAATGCAATCAATAAAAATTGATATTTTGCATTTGTTTTTTCAATATATTTGTTTCTAATTTCCAACACAATGTACGCAGTAATTGTTCAAATTGGTACTGTATTTTGTAATCAAATTTAATTTTAAATTATCTATTTAACGCAAATTTTTTAGTTGTAAATGTGCCAATCTTTAATTTGTATTTCTGTAAGTGATTGATGCATATTTTAATTTCATAATTTACAAAATACTCTGTAATTTTATCTTGTACCTATTAGCTATACTCCTAATGTGGGTTTCTTTTATGGCCAATTATGGGGATAGTAATGTAGTTCAAACTTCAAATTTCTTTAAATTTTATATTTTGATTTAATAATATATTTGTTGTTAATTGTACCTTTTTTCAATATTAACGTAATTAAATGATTTCATATCAGAAATGTTAGCCGTTCAACAGGGCGATACTAGCTTAGCTTACGACTGTAGATAGTGGATATAGTGCTTCTCTACGTCGCTGCTATCTTCTCAGTGCTGCGCAAACCCTAGTATTGCTCTCATTCGCTCTTCTCCTGGAGGTATGTCTCTGTTTTCTTTTCTTTTTTGCTGGAATTGCAACTACGGATCTGCACCTATAGAATTTTATTTCTGGATTTGCCCCAAAATTTCCTGAAAGAATAGATTTTTTTGGAATTGCACTTGAAGATTTTAGTAATATCTGGATTTTTTTGGAATTCTGTTGGAAGGTTTTCTTGGATTAGAATTTTTTTGGGTAGGCATATGAATCTGCACCGATGAATATTTTTTGGAATTGCAGAAGATTTTCTTTGGAATTTGATTTGTAGAACTTGTGCAGAATTGATTTAGTGAAGGAGTAGAATTTTTTAATTGTTTTCGTTTACTATAGAAGGATTAAAATTTGATTTATAATAATTGAATACAAGTAATAAAAAATAAAAATAATAAAAGTGTATAATATTGATGTCATGGTTGGAATAGAGATAAAAAACTTAGAAGTTAAAACACTGTTGGAGAGCTAAAATGACATTTAGCTTTTAGTTTTTTACACTCCCCCTTGGAGCTGTTCTCACTCTACTCAATTGCCACCATAGTTATCAAGGCGTCGCCTAGGCGGCGCTTAGGCGTCTGGGCGAGGGTTTGTGGACGCCAAATTGGTCGCCTAGCTTTTTTTCCCTGGGCGACTGTGTTGTACAGTGACTGTGTTGCCTAGCTTTTTTTTTCCCTGGGCGACTGTGTCGCCTAGCTTTTTTGACTGTGTCTCCATCTCCGAGACGCGTCTCCATTTTAGAAGCGCAATGGAACGCGCGAGATAGAGAGAAGACGAAGCAGGAGATAGAGAGAAGACGGAGGAGGAGAGGGAGAGAAGACTTATCTTTCTCGCCGATTATTTGTCGCGGTGCGGCTTCCAGATCTGCGACCTCCACTGCCTCTTTCTATCTCTCTATCATTTAGACTAGTGGACTAGGTCATGTAACTGGGCTAGATTCATTAATAGACTATTGGACCTTTACACAGGAGTATAAGGCCCAAAATTTAATAGGCCTTTTAAAAGCACACTTTATTGGAGTAGTTATACACACACACACACTCTATTTCATAAAGTTGGTATCAGTGTTCATTTTAATTAATTATTTCATACTATATGCTTTAACATTAGTACCTATAAAATTATTATGGTCGCCATAGCCTACTCGCCCAGCGGACGCCTAGGCGACTGGAAGGTGCTCTAGCGCCCAACCTCGCCTAGACGCCATAACAACTATGATTGCCACAAGCTATATTCCATTACTCTAATTCCAATCTATCCGCATCTAGGTTTTCTGTCTTCGGGAGTACTGTACTTCGTATTACCTTTCCCGAAGAAACATTTTTTTTCTTGTTTACCTGAGCAGCTGAATCGTCGTCTTGAATTCATATTCTTTTTCTTTTTTATTCTTTCTTCTTCTTCTTCTTCTTCTTCTTCACAGAGCACATCTCCTCTCTTTCATCAAGAATATCGTGGTCTCTTTCTCTACGCTGAGTGAAGCAATTTGATATGATATGAATACATATTCTTCCAATCTTCTTCTCTTTACTTACTCAATTTTTGCTTGAATATTGCTTGACAATTGGGTTATGTGCTTCCCCGCATACATCTACTCTGTATTGTTTAATTATAAATTAAATTTTACAACTCATTTAAGTCATTTTCCAGAAAAGAAGTCAAATAGAAAAAGACAGTTACAGGAAGAAGACATTATAGAACTGGACAGTACATTTCCCCAATTTCCCTCCTATTTCTCGAAGGCTGGATACCTTTTCGAGGTCATTCCTGTGAATCATTCATGGGTCTTCCATTAACAAAATTGAAGCGGAGTTAACAAGAGGTTTGATGATAGCTGCGGGTAGCCCCTTGCTTTCGCTTCGGTATCTTTCCAAGCTCCCTTATCCTCCATTTGCATTATCAGCATCTGCTTCGACGCTTGGTAAAAACCACTCTTCTCTCCTGTTCTATTCTTTCTCAATGTTTATGCATCTATGAAGATTCTTATTGGTTTGTTGTTTTACCTTGATTTTAACCTTTTTTTTTGAGGAATTGGTTAGAGATGGAGATGGGATCATCAGTGCCTTCAATTATGGTGTTGTGTGGGAAGTCTGATGTCGAGAATGAACTTGCCAAAGCACTGAAGAAGAACAATGCTCTGAAGCTCCTTGGAGACGAATTCAAAGTTGTTCTGCATTCGGAGGTAGACAATAGATTCAGAAATGATGCATTTAATGTAGACCATTACTTTAACTCTCTCTCCACAACAACTGGACTCGGGAGATTCGTCATTTACTCTCCCAGAATTTCTTCCACACAGGATTTCATTTCAAGGTATGCATGATTGTGTCTAGTTATTAAGGTATTAATCATTTTTGGTTTCCCTCAATATTGCGTTGAAAGTTAGTTTACCATCCAATTGAAAGCATATAATTGATAGCATTTGTAGACTCTATTGTATTATACTGATATTGTAGCATAGTAGAAAGACCCAGTAGCTTCCCAATTTAAATATTTAGCTATGTTAAAAACTAACCCAACCCAAATATTTCCCACCACCTTAAGGTCATGATTTTACCACTGTCATTATTTTTGTTTTTTGCCAGCAATATCTGTGAGTTGCCACTTGGTGCAGTGTGTGTTGCTGATGTGCAATTCAAGGGGCGAGGTATCATTGAAGTTGTGTTCTTAAGTTAATAATGCTATTAATCAGACAACTTATCAATGTTTCAACTTTTGGGGCCAAGGGCGTTCAATGAATGTGTGGGAATCCCCAAAGGGTTCCCTTCTTTTTTCATTTACCTTACAAATGGTGGATGGACGAATGGTGCCACATGTGCAGTATGTGGTCAGTCTTGCTATGGCAGATGCCATTAATGATCTCTGCAAGCAATATGTAAGTGCATAAAAATATTTTTTCACATTGTTGTGTTGCATATTGTAATTGCTAGAACAAAGCTTTGACCCTATTTAAAAACATACGGAGTAAGATCTAAATAAATAGGCGATGGGAATTGGGAACCTCTAAATAGCATAGAGCATGTTTCGTGATTCTAGGAGAAAACAACCTTCCAAGAAGATATTTCTTTGTCCCATATATTTATGCGACATGAAGAGATGATACACAAACTAAGAAAAATATAATTGTGTGGTTCATATGAAAGTGAAAATGAAAGAATCCATTTAAGCGACAAAAATGTTACAAAATATGAGATGAGGCAAGAGTAGGACAAACAAAAGTACTAAAATGAACTAAATCTATTGGGACGGAGAGAGTAATACAACTTTTTCTATAATTCAAATCTAACTGATCAAATTCTAGGCATAGTTATTACGGCGTCGCCTAGGCATCCAGTCGGAACTTTTTTCTCGCCATGCTCCTTCGACTCGACTTAGTTTCCGGAGCTCGCCTAATCATCGCCGCAGAGACGCCTAGACGTCCAGTCGGTACGCCTGGGGCGACTTACGCCGTGAAATAAAAAAAATTCCTAGCCCAAATGCCCAATTGATCTTAGATGTCCAGCCCAATTATTTTTGAAAATAAGTTATCTCAAGCCCAATTGATTCTAAAATATCAAACCTACCTCAATAATCCAATCGTCACTGCGTATTCTCTCGGTCGTCGTTCTCTCTCGGGCACTTCGCGGTCGTCCTTCACTGGAGCTGAATTGGGTCGTCGTTCTGTTTGCCTCACTTCCGTCTTGACTTCGGAAATCCAGCCTGGGAAATACAGCGGCTCTCTCCAGTCTCCCTCCACCGTAAGTCTCTCTCTCTTTACAGTAACTTTGGTTTTTTTTAAGATCCTAAATCAATAGTTTCTAGAAATAGTATCACTCCTCCACTACTCCTCCACTTCACTCAGCAATATTTAAAGGTTTTTTCTTAATAATGATTAATGATTTAATCTTCCTTTCAAAAAAATTCTGAATTTTTTTTCTGCCAGTGTAAATTATTTTTTAATTATTTCTCTGCCATATTACATAATTTTTTTTAATGTTTTTCTGGTGATTTAATTTTTTCAATTCTACTTTTCTTGAGGGTTTTTGAGACTTTGTTGTGACATAATTTCTATCATTTGAATGTTAAATTTTTGCTAAATTTGAAATTTAAACTTTATCTACATCATATTATGTGATATATTTATATTAGTGTTACTAATGTATAGCAATTATCATTTACTACTAGTCTCCTTATAGTCACCTAGGCGGGCGCCTAGACGCCTAGGCGTCATGGCGTTACACTGGCGCCGCGACTCGCCTTGGCGATGTGATAACTATGATTCTAGGATAATAAGACCATTTTTCCTTGAAATGGATTTTTGATGGTCATCATTTTTAAACAAAGATTGGTTATCTGCATATCTTACACAGAGAGACCAATTCACCCCTTTTAATTTCCATGACATCTGTTGAATGACAACAACCCGTAGGATCCCACAAAAGTAGGGGCTGGGGAGGGTGTGTGTGCGCAGACCTTACCCCTAGCTCAGGTAGAAGAACAAATATTATGCAAGAAAACAAATAGCAATTAATGTCAAGAAAAGTACAGAGAGACAAAAGACACACAAACAACTACAGCAAAAGATCCTGATTCAAGGGACTACCCAACTATCATAGCCCTAGATCTCCAAACGCCCAAATGCTCCTATCTGTTGAATGACAGAAAATCGATCAAGAGAAATTGGTTGAATTCATATTTTCACTTCAATATTTCCCATAATTATGGAAACAACATTATTAGTAAAGACTAAACATTAAGTCAACACTCATTTTACTTTTAATAGAATTTAATACTTTCCATAGCTTACAAACATGCCACAAGTGTAAGTGTTATATGTGAGGGCAACAAGGGTTGATAAGACTCCTGTAGAAATTTCGAAAAGAGGTTAGTTTGGGGGGGGGGGTCTTGATAAGCTATAATATACACTTGAATATGACATACTATATGCTCAACTCTCAATTAGGATCAACTCTAGAATTTAATTAAGAATTACACATAATTAAAAGTCTAAAACCTGGCACTTCCACTTAAACTAACCACTCTCAGGCCCTGTTCTCCCATCCTTTCATTTCAGACTCCAGAACTCCAACTACTAGACTCCAGTGCTAGTTCCATGTTTCGGATTCAAGTTATCAGTTTCTAGTTAAAATCTATTTTAGTTTTATAGTGTATATCACTCTAGGTATCACTTATTACCCGGTTTCAGTCAATTTGCATACTCTAGTTCCTAGACTCCACTCCAGATTCCAGTTCTTCTTGAAGGACCAAGAGAACCCTGAGAGAAAGCAAGGTTGCAATATGTGTATTGATCGTGTAAGGAATTAGCCAACAAGTCCCCAGAGAGGAAGAGGACGAGCAAAACAACAATTTTCACCTTCATTTGAGTACGAATCGTAAAATGAAACCTGAAATTTAAAAATTTCTTTCAAATTTCCCCTAACTCTGCCTCCCGGCTGAGTATGAGTCTTAGATTCTTGCAAGAGTCTCCCACTCGCCAAAGGGGAGAATAATGATTGAGTCCTATCTAGAATGGGATATTTATTAATTATTGTTTAAATATTTTATTTTATTATTTTTCAAAGTTTTTTTTGGATCTCATAAGCTTAAGATAAGTTTAATCCTTTTCCATCCCTAACATGTAGGAATTCTCAATTTCACTATTATTCAATTGTAATCAGACTCTTAATCTCTGACCTATCTCTGGCATTTCTCATCATTCAGAAATAAACAGCTAATTATTTTCAATTGGAGATTTGTTGTTGCCAGCTATTGGGAGTTATTGAGTGAGATTCTTTCTCAAACACTAAATAGGTTTCATCATATTTTCCTATTGAGTTCCTCTTTGGTTTGTTTGCAACATACTATGAGGATCCTATGAGGGCCATTTTTCTTCGATTTTTTTCCCATTAAATAATCACACTAAAACTAAATGTCTTTTATAATTTGGGAAGAAGAGAGATGCAATTATCTATTGCTTGGATTGCAGGCTTAATGATGGTGCAAATGGTGTGCACCACAAATGCGTCATTGGTGATTTGGCCCCCAATCGCCACAAATCTGGTTTGGCAACCGATCTTCCCATGGCAATGCCATTTGGCGCCATTGCCACACCATCTTTATTTGTGTGCCAATTTTTTTTGCCCAATGTTTTCCAGTCCAATATATTTGAACCCAATCCAAAACCCCCTTTTATTCTCGGTCTTTAGTTGCTCTCCATCACATCTTACATTCTCCAATTGCTCTTGTTCTTTGCAGAACAGCACCATCGCGACTTTTCTTTTTAATTGCTCCATGACCATCTCCAAGTCTGCAACCTCCGACGTCCTTTTAATCAACTTTTGCGTTTTTCTTAAGTAACTAAATTGAACTTTTTATCAACTTTAGTTTGAATGAGTTTTGCTTAAGTTGCTAGATTGAACTTTTATCAACTTTAGTTTGAATTAACTTTTAGGTTTTGCTTTAGTTGTTTTAATATTAGCACCTTCAAGTGTTCTGGAATGAATTTTTGGTTGTGTTTTTACTTTGAACATGAATATTTAGATCAAGTACTCTATTATTTTAATTGGATTTATGTCTTGTACATTTGTCGATTTAGTTCATTGGTTGTGTGACTTGTATCCCATGGTGATGCCATAGTTGCGCCATCGCCATTGGAAACTGGCTCATTGCCATGATTGTCGCGATGTGCCATCACAATTAGGCTTGTAAAAAGTCACTAATGTTTTTTTCTTCTTGAACATGAAACATAAGGATCATGGTGCATCAGCATGCAATCTTTCTAATCTGAAGATGTATTATAATTTTTAAACTTCTGCAACTCAAAGTTAATATGTACTCTCTTCATTCCCTTTGGTTCTTCCCACTTGCCTTTTTGGGCTGTCCTTTTTGTTGCTTCTCACTTTCCTAATACGGAAACTAAATGAGAACTAAATGTCTACTTTTCCATTTGAAATTTAAATTCTTCACATCATTCCCCTGTTCTTTCTTCTTCGTCAATCCCCCCCTGCCCCCAAATTTGTCTTCTTGAAGACTTCAACCCCTCCACCCAAACCACCACACAATTTCTCCTTCTTCCTCTTCAACTCACCCCACATTNGCCAGGCTAAGCTTGGGGTGTGGGCCGTGTGGCTTTTCTTCCTTTGCAAAAATGAAGTTTTCATTTTTCTTCTTTTCTTCAACCATGAACCATGGATTGTTGAGGTTTCATTCAGACAACAAATTATTCACCTGATTTGGGGATTTAAGTCATTTAACAAAAGGATAAAGAGTCTAGGCTTTTTGCATGTTACAGGCAGGGATCTAGCTTTGGTCTCTCCTCCAGCCCCGAATACGGAAATGTATGGGGTGATTTTTATTTCATCAGTTGGTGCATATAAGGTTTCAGTGGTATAACTTCAGGTGTCTGGTGGGGAAGAGGCGGGGTGAGTTATGGAAGAAGGGTAGGGAGGGTAAAATTGAAAAGTCCACTATTTTTTCCCCTTACATTAAAAATCGTGCCTAGTCAGATTGAGAAGATCCGAAGAGGCAAAGGGAGTAGTATTATTCAGAGCGGGTGATGGCTTGTATCTAGTTTTACTGTTTACAAGTAGAAAATATCTCATGCTTTAGGCGAGGTTAGCTATAAACTGTTTTCTATAAGCTTCATCAATGATTTCTTATATGAAGGAAATGTGAAGCAGTGATGGAAAAGTTCTTTGAAACTCATCTTTACCCATTAAAATCTATTTTTGTAGTATTTTTGCCAAGTGATGATTAATTGCGTTCTAATTTGATGGTTTAGCTCTCCCAGATTTCTGCATCTGCATCTGTTGGATGTATGCTTTAATATAATTGTTTTGGAAATGTAATTCATTTCAGGACGCCTCACATCTTGTTGTAAGAATAAAGTGGCCAAATGATCTTTATTTAGATGGTCTTAAGATTGGTGGCATTCTGTGCTCTTCAACATACAAGTCCCAGAAGTTTAATGTCAGTGCTGGTAAACAGTCTAAGTGTCTCTAGCTGAAGACTTTATTTATTAGTTCATTCAGTCCATGAACTAACCATAGTATTTTTCACAATGTGGTCATACAAGCTGCTTCATTGAGGTGGTTTAACGAGTTGCTTCAGCGAGGTGGTTTGATAAGCTGCTTTAGGGCATCTTCTCTTCAGCTTATTCTTATTACTTATGAGTAATACTTTTTCTTATTGAAATAAGATCAGATTAGAAGAATTCAAATCAAATAATAAATAATGCGATCTAATCTAATTCGAAACAACCTGAACTTTAGAGTGAATTCTCAAAAAAGTCCTTTCTAATAAGGTGTTTTCCCAAATTAGTCTTCAATAAGAAATAATTACCAATGTGGTCCTTTGTAATTTAGATGTATTCCCTAAATAGTCTTCTGACGAAAATGTCTATTAAATGTCAGTCACTTCGAAGGTATTTTGGTATTTTCTGTCATCCAGACTTAAACTATGTTCACAAAATGCTCCTTTATAATTGAGTAATTCTTCGAACAGATAATTTCTAAGTAAATCTTTTCCCAATATGGAGTCCATGAGCCTATTCAGGGTGGGTCAGTTATTCTACTCTAGCAGCCACCCAATTTATTTGAAAGCATCATTTTGAGGACTTATTCATAGTTTAGATAATAGGAAATACAAAAATACCCTCCGTTTAACTGTTATTTAATAAGCATTTTTGACAAAGGATTATTTAGGGAATACATCTCAATTACAAATGACCATGTTGGTAATTATTTCTTATTGAGGACTAATTTGGGAAAACACTTTATTAGAAAGGACCGTTTTGGGAATTTACTCTTAACTTTAACTAGAATGAGATCGGATTTGACCAGAAAGATTCCTTAATAAATTCAGATTAGAACTAATAACTTCAGACGAAGAGAACATGCCCTTAGTGCTTTCCTTGAATACACTTATTTTTCACATTACAGGAGATAATATATTTTGTGATGCGGAAAGAAATCTACTTGTTTTACAATGCGGTTTTGTGCGTTGTTGAACTTTTATGAAATTCAGTTGCTTGCACGTGATGAACTGCTTAATTTTCAAACAGCATGACTCCTGCTTTTGTTTGGTGGTGTATACATGTATCAGTTGACAATTTCCAGTTTTCAACAACATGATTCCATAGTCCATGCTTTTTTTGATTACTTACTGCCTTTATACAGGAATAGGCATAAATGTCGATAATGAGAGACCCACTACATGCTTGAATGCTGTTCTACAGAAATCAACATCTGCTCCAAATTTATTAAAAAGAGAAGACATTCTTGCAGCATTTTTCAATAAATTTGAGACTTTAAACGAGGTTTTCCTAAAACAAGGTCAGATATTCCTCCTTTGAACAAGATATTATTGGCCACTCAAAAATAATATCTAAATGTTCTGAATGATTGTATATTGCATTTGACCATGTTACTTTTTATGGTTGCTGTTGCTCTGTACAAGAGTGAAAATTTCCTTGGTTTTCTGCAGTCATGTAGTCTCTTGATGCTAGAACGCCCCTAAGATATGGAATAAACATGCAACATTTTATGTTTTGGCTTCTGCAATTATAGTAGCCTGGCTTGTAGTCTAACATGCCTGCTTCTTCTGGGATACACAGAGTAATACTTATCCCATGTTCTGAAGGGGAAACTTCAGTCGAAAATATGTTAAATTACCAACATTTTCTGTCTTGAAGTGTTGAAAACTGGAAACAAGTGTTTCGAAGGTGTTCCATTTCCTTTGCATCATCCCTGATCATCAAAATATCATCATCAGCATATTAAATCAATAGTTTTCCAGCCATTTTTTGTTTAAAAAAAGACCGAAGCAACAACCTTATTGTTAATGTATAGATTTCGTTTGTAGATTAGCCGAATAACACATATATGAGCGAAAGTACATCAGATCTAGTGTTAATAACAAAAACACTAGACATCCTAAACTACCTTTTCATTTGTAGTCCTCGTCTGAAGACTTATAGATGTCAAAACATCTTCTATGACAAACACTGACTCTGTACGCGCCACAATCTCAAGACTGCTATTTTCATCCATAAAATTTCTCTAAGCAAAATCAACACATACTTGAACACAAAACCAACAGTTCTGCAAAGGGAATACAATAAAGCGCCCATTAGGGTAGACCAACCAAACAACCCATAATGGGGACAAAAACTTCATATTTGAGTTACTTATTAAAAGTAGAACACAACTAGGGGCTTATCACAACACAATGTAGGGGCCTAGGGGGAAGCAACCCCAAACATGAGAAGATATAACAACCATGGTTGTTAAGTCGGCAAGCCGAGTCGAGTTGGTGAAGGAGAGACTAGTGGACTAGTCGACTAGTCGGCCTATTAGTCATAGACTACTCGACAAATCACAATTAGTATTGAAATGTTTGACATTATATATATCTTCATTCACCCAAGATAACTATATATATTTATATGACAAAATATTATTACCAAAATTAAATTATATTTAAAGATAGCACATAAAGTCACATAACGAATGGTACATAAGAAACAAATATCCTTCAATCTTCAAAAATAACACACCAACAAAGATAGTAAGCACAAAAAAGAAGTCAAAGAACATATTAAAATATTTAATTCCATGTTTCGAGTTATCAAATACCATCATCCAACGTTATGCCACCATGACGATTTTCTTTTATTGTGATGTCATAGATAGCCGGAGACCATAGTCATCATCAACATCTTCGTCATCATTGGGAAAAACATCAATCCCAGTTTCTAAATCATCATCCACCAATCGAAGCACCCCGTAGGCTATAGAAAATCTCGGCATTTGATGTACTTGTAGATTCACTTGAGGAAGTTGTACTACTTGTACCACTTCTCCTAAGCAAGTCACGCCCCTCGAGATTGTTTGAATCACCAGTTGCCTCATCCACATTACTCCACAGAAGATCACCTCTCAAATGAACAACTTCTTCATTGGCATCAACCCATTCATTATTCCATTGAAACTCTTCTAATACCAAAGGGTTGAAGTTATTTCCTTGTTCTCGATGCCTTTTGAAGCGATTGAAAATCTTACGATTATATTTCACATACACCAAATCATTCAATCTTTGATGCTCAAGTCGATTTTTTTTCTTTGTGTGTATCTAATTGTAAAAAAAATATAGTTAGTTTGAAAGTGTAATAATGCATGGACTAATTTCCAAAGAACATATTAGATTTTGATTAGAAAAAGTACTCAAATTAGGTTCACACCAAGATGAAGAACAACAAAGACCAATTATTCTTCTAGCAAATGTTAGGAGCTCTGGAGTTATCCACCAAACAAATTCCACCAATCAACTGAAAAACTTGAATAAAGAACAAAAATATAATTAAAATTTCTTTTACTTCCCATGGCATTAATTATTTTAAACTACTTACGTGGGGACATGACCGTTCATTGCTTAATTGGTATATTCTTTGCAAAGCCAACTCTTACCTCATCGTATTCACCCACTTGCTGAATAATCTTCATTTGCAAACAGTCATCACCTATTGTCATTTTTTCTACGACCTCATTAAACAAGACCCTATGCCTAGATGCATATGTTTCATCCTTGTCTTTGAGCAAAAAATATACTTGCCAGAATATAAAAAATATGCAGCTGCATATATTTTTTTCTCCATTTGATTCACCTATCGCTTCTCAATTATGTCTATCATTTTCTTTTCCAACGTTGGTTTGTTGGAAAATGACACTTTAATTTTATCCTTAGCAACATCCATAGCTGCTATCACCTCTGTCATGGCAAGTCCCTCATCTCCATTGACAATTCTCAACATGATTAAAAGAGGTTATCATGCCCTTATACAATCCTCTACCACTTTCGAGAATTTAGAAGAAAGTACAATGTCACATACTTTTTTTCTCGCCGTCTATTTGCTAGCTTAGATTTCCTCTAATCTTCACTAACAAAGAGGCTTCTCAATGCATTATTGTGTTTCTACATACTGTGTAGAGTGAGGAAAGTCGTGGTAAATCGTGTAACTCCGGGTTGAAAAATTTTCTTCCTATTGGTTTTTTCTCTCAATGCAGCATGAAGTCTTACATGTCTATAAACAAACCTAGTCACACGTCTTGCATTTTCAATCTTACTTTTAAAGTATTCCAACCTACCTATGTCTTCCAACATTAGATTCAAAGAGTCGGCTGCACAAGCCACAAGGTGTCCAAAAGAGCCTAGGAATACGAGACTCAAGTACTTTTCTAGCGGCTTTGTAATAAGAACCAATATCAGTTACCAATGTTCGAAAAGGCGTATTGCGGTTTTGAGGCGTTTTCATTTCATGGCGTAAGGCGTAAGCCTTAAGGCGTTTTGGGGCGTAAGCCTCAATTTTAAATTGAAAAACATTCACAAAATAATATAAAACCAAAGATAGAACATAATGTATAACATAAATAATCCAAAAACATGAAAAGAGTATATTGTCAAAGCAATACATCGCAAACATAACAAAGTCGAACATGGAATCAGACATAATTTTGCTCGAAGTGATGAGCTTAAATTGAAGAATTGAAAAAAAGTTCATCAGTGTCTAACATCTTGAAAATAGGATCAAAAGATGTTGCATTTCCTTCATTCTCTTCCTCGGAATTGATGAAAAAATCATCTCTAATAGGATCTCGAAGAATAATATCATCTTCTTCATCTTCTTCAACTTCATCAATAAGCTGTAGTGCTTTTCCCCGGTTTGTGTCCACGTCTTTTTCACGTCATCAACAATTTTTTGAGTCGTTTTTACCTCTTCATCCAAGATCCAGTGGCTCAATTCATACGGTGTAGGTGGCTTAAAACCCCTGCCAAAATTACCAATTGCACGGCACATGTTTATGAACGAAGGAGAATTTGCAACATGAAATAGAATACCATTCTCAATATAAAATCTTCCCACATCTAGGCAAACTCTATCTCTAGCTTCTCTTTCGCTCATTGGTTTTTCTGGAATAGTATCAGGAGTGTCAACATTAACATCCACAACAAATCTATCCATTGGACCGCGCACAGGGGATAACCTCAACGATGGTGGCGAACTACTTGGTTGTTAACTGAGACATAAAGCGTAGTATGCACCACTATCAATGAGCTCCTCTCGATTTCTCATGTTCACCTGTTTTGTTTGTGTGGCCAAATTCAAAGTAGATAACATTTCTTGTTTAACTTCATCAGGAACCTTTTCACAAGGTGCAGAATTTTTCCTTGTACCAGCAAGATGATGCTTAAATCGACTAATCCCGCCTTTGACATCTTTTTTACAAAAATTGCAGTTTACATATTTGTAGTTTTTTTTTTGTCCTTCGATATTGGGTGTTGAGTCAACACCATACTTCCATGCTGGGTCCGACATTTAAGCAATATTCTAATTTCTGAAACAGCAAAATAAACAATACGATACTATGCAATAATTCATCTTAAAAACAAAAAAAATAAAACAATTAGCACATCAGTAATCAAAAAAAGAAGAAAAAAAGAGAGGATATTAACAGGTGGAAAGAAGACTGGAAAAACGCAGAGATAAAACGCAGCTGATAAAATCAGTAATCATAAAACGCAGAGATAAAACGTAGAACAAATGAACAATTACCCAAAACATAAAACGCAGCTAGAAAGAAAGAGTAAAGAAACGCAGACTGCAGACGGCAAAGAAGACTGCATACCTTTTCGCCGGAGAAGAAGGCTGCAGACGGCGACACTGGACGGCTGGAGACGGTTCGTAGCTCGCCAAAAGGTAATCGACAAAGATTAGGGTAATCGACACTAATTTTGGGTAATTTTAGGATATATACACTTTAATTGGGTTAATTAATTGGAGTAATTGACAACTTAAACCTTCAATACCCAAAATTTAAATTGTTTAATTTCCAATTTCTAATGCTGGAATTGCGTAAGCCTTATTGCGCGCACCGGCGCGTACGCCCCATGGCGTACGCCTTTCACAGAATAGCGTAAAAAAACCTTTAGCGTGAAAACGGGATTTGCCTTGAGGCATTTTTTCCGGAAAAAGTTACGAGGCGCGCCTTGAGGCGCGTTTCCGTTTCGCCTTTTCGAACATTGTCAGTTACTACTTGAACAACTTTGCCTCTTCCAATTTCTTTAATCTTTTCTTCCTATAAATCAGCTAACATACTTGCATCATTCTTTTGCGTTGAAGCATCAACTGAGCCTAAGAAAAAAGTCACTTGAGAACTATTTGCAAGAAAATGTATTAAATGCCAACCTCTTGTGTCTGTCCACCCATCTGACATAAGCGTGCAACCATTTTTCAAACAAACTTTTTCATGCTTCTTTTTCACCTTCATGGTCTCTTCTCTTGCTTTCTAAAGTAGTGGTACACGTAACTCATGATACGATGGTGGTCTCAACCCAGGTCTATATTGCCCAATTGATTCCATCATAATTTCAAAACTTTTGGAGTAGCGTTATATGGTATCCCATTCTCGATGAAGAAATCATTAATATGCATATGAACTCGCTCTTGCTCATTTTTACTTTTGATAGGCTGTTCCATCGTTCTTTGAGTTGGGCCCTTTGTATGTCTTTCCTCAACCAATTTTTCAGGCATCTTTCTTACCATACAAGAAACAAATTGTTATTGTGGTTGAGTAAACTTAAGGGCACCTTGCTTTCGTTTGGCATTTGTACCCAAACTTGGTTGAGTAATGGAGTGATTTGAAGCTATAGAGGAACTCATAGGCGTATCATCCACATTCATATCGTCATCACCAACTTCATAATCATCTTCAACGTCCAACGACGTGGATTTTTTCTTCTTGTTCTTGTTCAAATACTGATGCATTTCTCTGGATATCTCTGTTGTATTTGGACACTTTGTGACATCCACAAGATTTTTGTTCGTATTTGGCCAAAACCCACATTTCCATCCGGAATCACTAAACCTGGCTTTTTGTTTGGGGTCATTGGATGGATCGTCGTAGTCGCGGATATTATTATCTCCCATTTGTTATGAAATAAATATTAAATTAAGTTGATGAATATGACATTCTAGCAAGTTCCTAACTCAAAATGCATCCCACTGTGCAAAAATAATAACCAAGAATATTCTTACCCTTAAAATACCAAAATAAGCGAGGCTGCGAGGATTCGCAGTGTGAAGTGGAGAGGCGAGGGTGTGCCTCTTAGAGGGGCGCGATTAACAAATGCGTGATTCACAAGAGCTAGAAGTAGGCCGATGTTAATCAACAAGGCATGGCTAAACACAAGTTGAGCGATGACATGACCATGGATACAGAGTTTTTGTGGTGGATTATGATGGGCGGGTTGCTGGTTGTTTAGTGTATGTTGCTCTTGTTTGAGAGGTGGGGGTTAGTCCTTCCATATTATTCTCTCGTGTTCAGTGGTTTTAAGCGTGGGCTGGTGGCGGTAGATGTTTATTCTTATGTGCACAGTGCACTTGAATGTGCTAGGAAATAGCCTCTCCACTCATGGGTGTAGGTAAGGCCTGCGTACATCTTACTCTCCTTGATCACCATTCACCACCTGTGGGAGGTTTGTTGTTGTTGTAGGGATCTAGTGTAGATCACTAAACATAACTTCTATTTTTTGTTAGGAATTGATTATATAACACACTTTGGAAGCATCATAGTACAAACACACCTTATACACTCAACATAACTTCTATTTTTGTTAGGAATTGATTATATAACACATTAAGTTATTAACACATATTAGAAACTCAACATCACTAATGACACATGCATTATGCATAGGTTAACAAGGTCATGTTGCTGTTCACTTGAAGATGTGAATATATAACTGTATTATTATCAGTTTGTGCTGGGAATTGTAGGCTAGTACGGTTATTCAATCATGTCCTTTTCGTCCTATACCTTTTTGCGTGTTCATCATGTTGATCATGGTTGTGCTTTTGTATTTTAACGCTCGCGCAGGATTTCATCCCCTTGAGGAGTTGTATTATAAGACTTGGCTCCACAGGTATAACAGTTGCATCTCCTATTTTTAAGTCTTTTGGTGATGATTTGTTTCACTTGGATAGATAGTACAGTCATCATGAAATGCTACTGCTAATGTTTGACATGATGTAATATATGCTAATCCAAAAAGTTTTACCACTATTTTTTTTTAAACTCTATATTTCATCTTTTAAGAATCAGAATACTGATTTACTGAAGCATATATAGGGAGCAGTGATATCAATGAAGCTAATTACGCCTGACATCATTTTCACGTATTTGGTAACACTCTTTTTACTGATATATGTTGTGAATGCAGTGGGCAGCGAGTTATTATACAGGAGATTATCGAGAACCAGAATGAGTTTGTAGAGAATGTAGTCACTATTCAGGTCATTTAGCTCTAATTATTTTCTGAGATAAATTAATAATTGTGGACACATTTGGTTTTATTTATTCCTTTGGCCAATTTTGATTCTTACAACCAGCTATACAAGAATGAGCTGATTCTGGAGAATAAGTAGTTGATTGTTTCTAAGAATCACATTGTGGTGAGCAGTAGCTAACTCTACTTAGAACCTGAAAAAATTACAATACCAATTGCTTTCAGCTGATTCTATGACTCAGAACTGTGGAACCAACTGAAAGAAATAAAACCAAATGAGCTCTTTATGAGATGAAACACCTTTCTATTAAGTTTGGTTTTCAGAATCTCATTGAAAATTTGGAATTTGAGGCAAACTCTATACTTCTGATCCCAATAAAACTCTTATCACTAAACATCATCATTTCAAAATCCACAAAAATAAACAAAATTTTGAATCAACTCTCTCTCTCTCTCTCTC